TTCCATGCCGCTTGACCATAAGGTCTTTGGCAACCCTTTCTTTAATTAGTTGCTTCACATAATATTCTCTAATACTCCGTATTTAATTTATTCAACGCCGTAATTTGGCAGGAACTAAAATGTCTCACGGGTTAGAGCAAATTAGAGATCACATTCACAACAAAATGAGTCAACTAACGCGTGCAAAATTAAATTGTGCTAAATATAATGCTTTCAACTTTAGCAGCATTCACGTTTTATGACTACATGCATATTGCAGCCCCCAAAGTTGCCATTTACGCAGCCTTTTCTTAAATTTTAATCAAATTGTTCTCACTTCTGCCTAGGAAAAGAAAGAAAGAAAAAAAGCATTCAATTCAAATTTCAAACATAGACCAATAATTTCTTTTTGCTATATTATATTGGTCCTACTTTTGACTCTTAACTTAGGATCATTCAGGTTTGGTTTTAATTCACTTGATACATGACTTCAAAGTCAAGAAATTAATTTCTCCCTTTTGGTATTTAAAAAATGATAAAAATAAATTTTTATTTTTGAAATGATCCCTCCAATAATTATGTGGTAATTGTCAATTTGGTTCTTGACTTTTAATTATCACATTAATTCATTGACTATAAAAATCTTACTTCATTCATCCTCCATCAATCCATTAATATTTAATTTCGTAGTTGTCAAATTTGAAGACAAAAAAGTAATAATAGTGATTACACATTTTCTCTCATTTCCCTTCTCCTTAATTGTTGTTCTTTGCTCTAATTTTTAAATTTTCACTTTATTGGCAGGCTCTGGGCTAAAATTCTACTAGATCTTCGATCACAATATATTAGATGTATCGTTTAATTTCGTTAGAAATTTTGTGTAATAAAATTCATTTTTTAAAGATTTACTTTTAGTGTACTATAAATTTACTTTTAATATACTACTATTTAAAAATGAATCTATAGTATATTAAACATGGATCTATATTATTTAGGGGCCGTAGCTCAGACGCTAACTAGCAGGTATCACAACATATTAATTCCTTTAGTTGGTTATGCAGACTAGATGATGGGCACCAGATAGAAATGAGACTTGCCACATATGGTTTTATTATTCTTTCTGACCAATGTGTGTTTAAGATGGCAAGGAACAACCCATTACGGTGTATTCAAGACCCTCTGATGACTGAGGCCTTAGTGGTCAGGAGGCTCTCGTGTGGATCAAACAGCACGACTTGACGCATGTTAGGATGGAATCAGATTGTCTTAATTTTTGTTCTAATATTTCGAATGCCAGCATTGATCGTTCCTATATAGGCTCTATAATTCATGAGTGTCAGCGTCTTGTTTCTTTTATTGCTGGTTGTGAGGTCCAATACAGCACGACTTGACGCATGTTAGGATGGAATCAGATTGTCTTAATTTTTGTTCTAATATTTCGAATGCCAGCATTGATCGTTCCTATATAGGCTCTATAATTCATGAGTGTCAGCGTCTTGTTTCTTTTATTGCTGGTTGTGAGGTCCAATACATTCGCAGAGACAAGAATCAAATTGTCCATTCCCTTGGTAAAGCGAATGGGGCTTGGTTATCTTACTCTGAGTAGACTAATGACCTGCTGAATTTTTTAATCGCGTTACTTTAATAATATTCTGGTTTGTTTGCTTTCAAAAAAAAATGAAAGAGTGAATATTTATAATTTATGAGTGATTTATCTTTTAATATGGACTATGTACCACCATATAATTTGCCAAGAATAATGAGGTGTACAACATTTGACCACCTCAAGTCCTCAACCGAAATTAGAAGTAATATATAGTAATAATATTTAGGGTGTGTTAAGGAACAAGGGAATATGCAATCTGAATCAGTGTCTATCAAGTATCGGATTATTTTTATGCAGATTGTGTATTAAGTCATTGTCAATCTCTTAAATGACACTTTGAATCAGTGTCTATCAAGTACGTTTCTCGATCAGTGAACAAGCTCGCTCATGTATTAGCTAAGGTTGCAAGTTCTCATCCTGGTCATTCTAGTTATTTTTCTTCTATTCCGTCGTGTATTGAACATTTAATGTCTTAATTTTAATGAAGATTGTTTCCTTTCAAAAGAAAATAAAATTAGGGTGTGTTTGGTTCATAGATTTACATATCAAGAATGAGAATCAAAATCATAGTTAGTGTTTTGTTGACAACTTTTTAAAACACAACTATGGGATTTGATTACACCTTCAATTAAAAATCTCATTTCCTAATTAAAAACAGGTATCATTCTATCTTATTGGTAATTTAATTTTTAAGTTTTTTTGTTCATATATATTGGTGCTTTGGATGTCATTATATTATGATCAATTGCCTAAAATTTTATTTTTGTATTTTCAAAACCTTTATTCCTATTATAGGATCATACATAACAAAATATCAATATTGATAATTATTTCAATTTTACCATACTACTAAACATGCAAAATACTTTCATCAAAACTCATTACCATTACCAAGTATTTGATTCTCGTTCAGATTCTGATTCCCTTTTGCGAACCAAACACACCCTTAGTTTACACTTTTAATATCCCTAAGGAAGAATGAAATATAATATTTTTCAAATCTCGAGTACATTTTCACTTTTGATTTCTTTTCCTTTCCTTATCCCTCTCTTTCTTCTTCTTTTCTTGGTTTATTATTTTGATTTAACATTATTAAAAAAAAAATGATTCCAAACTATTTGCATCTGAATAAATGAATATTAAAACTACTTTTACTAAAATTACACTCACTCAACTACTAGATAACTAATATTCAACTTATTCATCATATCAATCTATACCATAAATGTAACCCAGTTAATAAAATAAAAAATCACCATTTCAAACGAGTTAAAAGATATCTATATATGTTGTTATTATTATTATTATTATTATTATTATTATTATTATTATTGTTATTATTATTTTGAAAAAATATTTATACATACCTAATCAATTCATCGTGCAAAATGGAAGAGTACAAGTACTGAAATTGAAGAAAATAATCAAGAAATCATGTCTTTCATTTCAGCAAATTGTTATGTTAGTTGTAGGTCTTTTGGTAGAGATTAGCTGTCCAAATTAGGTTTAATGTCAAGGTTAAGTGCTTTCATGTACAGTAATTATGTGTTTTTGTGTTTGCCATGATACATGTTTTAATTAATTTCAAAAATATAATGATTTTTAAAAAAAAATTAATATCCTTAATTATTGATTTAATGGCCATGGACCATGACTAAGCATCTTCTTTTCTTCAGCCATTAATAATGGGTTATTAAGGGACAAGAGTGACTAACGACGTTGATTATATTTTGGCAAATTAGGTATAGGTTCTCCAATCACTTGTTGACATGTGTCTGGGTTGATGGGATTAAACTCATAACTTCATCAAATAATGTGTAATTATTGACATAATAATTGTTTGATAATTATGATTAGTTACTCTCTCCATTTTTTAAAAAAAATTTCCAAATATAGGTACTTTTTAAATTGAGACTTTTTGGCAACGAAAACACTATTTATGTCAAATACAAATAATGTTATATCAAATTATATAATTTTGTGACAAATATTAGTTGACGTGCTTGCATCACAATAATTCAGTTTCGAGTGAGGGCTTTGGTGCATAGGATTGGAAAAATTAGTTTAAATTGACATTTAAAGTAGTCTTTTTTTTTTTTTTTGAAAGCTTAAAGTAGTCATTTCAACTGTTCCCAAAAAAAGTTGAATCCCCAACTCTAAGGCTCCACGCCCTGAGAAAGCATTAAGATGATATAAATCATGATAACTCAATTGAATACAGAGGTTGCTCCCACATTACCGCTGAAGAAACTCGATCTCGGGTCATTATTCACAAACCTCACCCTTGTGACCAACTGAGCTGCCCATGCGGATTTTTTAAAATAGTTATTTCAATCCAAGACAAATCATTGAGAGACACGCTTAATCGGGGTTGAACCCCTCTATTGGATTGGAAAAAAGTGGTCATTTTGAGTGTTGACCACTTTCGATTTGAGAAGAGTCAAAGTATATTCGAATTCTCCTAATTGAGATGATGAATTTGGTATATATTAAGGACGGAGTCAAAAATTCGATTGAGGGAAGGCAAAAAAGTACAGACGGATTCATAAAATTTTTCCAGTAAAAGCGAAACATTAAAACAAAAGAGATAGTTTAAAAATAAATAAATAAATTACCTAAGAAATATAGTTGTAAATATTGTTGGATATGGACGTAAAATAAAACATATCGAAACTTTACAAAAATATTCATAACAAAATATGAAACAGAATTTATTTCACAAAATAATTTGAATAGAAAACACATTATAAATTACACATCTCATTAGTTTTAAAAAAACTATGTTGCTGCTAAAATTTGAACCATTGACCTTTACTACTACTAAATATATGCTCTACCAACTACTCTAACTCACTTCTTATTAACAATTAGTAGTTTTTTTATACTAATACTAAAACATGTACTATATATACATATATACATACAAAGACTATATATGGGGTGGGGATGAGGTAGGGGGATAGCTGCCCCCGTGCCCCCTTTAGCTCCGTCCCTGATATATATACTCTTAAAATAAAACGAGTGAACTTACACTAGTATAAATACAATTAAACTTTTTAATATATTTAAATTGTATAATATAGAAGTTCTCTCTTGCTCGCAAGGGTTGTGCATCTCAAAAGCTTGCACTCGGCGAAGAGAGCAAAGATTTTTTTCTCCAAAATTTTATTTTTTCCTCTCCTATAAAACTATCTCTTCTCTCTAAAACTTTTTTTGCTAACATGGCATATATCCACCATTGACTTTTTTTTTTTTGGTTTAATAAAAAAAGGTTCTTTATTTATTAAACCAAAAAAAAAAAAAGGTTCTTTATTTATAATAATAATAAAATACAATAAAAGGACCAATGTAATAATAATGATACATATGGCCAGCACTTTACTCCTTAATTGAGCCGGCTCGGTGCGAACTGAGATTAAATTCCAAAAATGTAATTTTATGAGAGATCAACAATCAACTAATCACATATCATATAAAATATTTTACTGACCAGAATACCTCTATTCCTTAAAAGTATCATCAAGTTCAAATCTCACTACTTCAAAAGTCAAAGCCAATATCTAAACCAAGTCTCTTAAAAGTAGCAGCTTCAACTTTCAAGGATACATAGTTTATTCAACACCTGCATATATGACTTTCCTCACAGCAGCATATGAATGTGCCAAAGCTGATTGATGAATGTGCATGTTACCATGTGCCCAGTTTTGCCCCCTCTATAACATCAGATAAACTCAACTCACACCACAAGTATAGAAATAGAATGGCTAATCTGAGTTCACAAGCAACGATTCTACGATGAAAATCACCCGCAATTCATGAAAAGCTAAGATCAGGGTAATGTCAGAATAGTAATTTTTGTGTATTTCACCTCTCCAATTCCTTAAAACCACCAATAAAAGATTAAATTTTTGTTTTTTTTTTTTGTGCGGGACGGAGCTAAGATGACGAGAAGTTACCTTTTTAAAGTTGATGTGTTTCTGTTTCTCCATAGAACTAACGGAGATACAGTTTTTTCAGTTGTCACCACTTTCTCCGTTGGGCCAGCCTAGATCAGCCTGTGACTTCACAAACTCTGCTAGCAATTTAATCTCGTCTTCCTGTAACCTCGGACCAAAAGTACATTGGCCTCTTGGCGTGCATTTCTCACCAAAGCCCTGTGAAAATACACAACTATTATATTCGCCGCTTTGGAGTTAGATCCATTACAGGCATTTCTTTACGCATCAAACGTACTCACTGGCATTCTTCCTTTTCCATAGTAAGTTACTCGGTATATTTCCTCCTCTGTATCTACTCCATTTCTGTGTAAGAAATGAGCAATCAGTCAACGATGATTTCCATCATTCCATGTTATAAAGTAGACTCACAAACCTACTGTATTGCAGTTTGTTAATCAATAAAACGAGGTAAAATCCACATTCGATATGTTGACCTTACAGTAATTACCTCTGAAGGTCCTTCAAGAAGAGTGTTGCACCCTGACAGGTCAAGCAAAGAAAAGGTACTTAAGGTTAGTTTAAGATGCTTAGAAGCAATTGTTGCGGTTCTTTCAAGTTATAGGGTAGACTGACTGGTTGTATTATATTTCCACCGGCAGTATGACACCCTATGCAAGCTCGATTGAACAACGAGGCTCCTTTTTGTACATCTATTGTCTGTCCAAGTGACACTGGATAGAAGGAAGAAACAAGAAAACAATTGTGGAATTCAGACTAAGAAAACAGCAAGCATACAAACTGAAAAAGAATGGTAACATAAGCAATCCAGCCAAGTTGGTCACGTTATTGACTTGGTAAACACAATGTTACAAGTTTGACTCCCAACAGGAACGGTCTATTCGCCTTCTTCGTTTGAACCGGTCAACTGTCACTTGCTGGCTAGGGTTAGAAGGCGGGGATTTAAAACAATACTTGAAGTTATTCCAGGCAACACAGGAGAACAATTTCCTTCAATTGAATGTAACAGCATATTGAGAATAAGAAATTCAAACTTCAATCATCCTAAAATATCTACTATTCCCATTGGATTTCATCGCTGTTCATCCAACCTAAAATGTTCCAGCACGATGCGGAATTGAAAATGCAACAAAAGAATGTTTTTTCTTCACTGGTAAATTGGCGAATGGGACACAAAATTGTTACCTGGGGGGATAAAAAGAGGACTAAAGGCAACAAGGGCGGCCATCAGAGGTGGAGCTACGCTCTTCAGCAGGTTCAATTGTCTCGATCTCTTTGCTGTTTGGAGATTTGGGTTCTCTCCTCCTTCATCCACATTTCTCTTCTGAAAAAGAGTATAATTGTGTATCAACAAAGCAGAAACAGAGAGAACAGAAAAGGGGGAGGGGGAGCGGCGGCGGCGGCGGAGGCGCTTACCTCTGTGGGGTGTACAGAACAGGCGGTGCTGACGCAACAACGCGGCACGCAGGAAACCTGCATGCTTGCAGTTTAGACTGTTGGGATGTTTGGATAAGAATTACAGTATATTACAGGTTCTATTTTTTCCCTTAATAGTTAGATTATCCATGAATTATATTACAGTGCTAATTTCTTTGTTTAGTTTGTGGTGTGTAGTATGAATTGTGCAATATAGAATAGCCTAAAGTAAATAGAGTAGTGATCCGGGTTTAACGCACTTGGTTCGTTTCCATGTGAGCACATAAAGGGCTGATTGCGTGACTTGTGATTTATTTTCACAGTGACACTATATGCAGGGTCCTTGGATTTAGGATTAGCCCGATAAAATTAAGATCACTTTTAATTTTATTTTTTTTAAAGAGTAAATAGAGTGGTGTGGGAATTTTGATAGGAATGTATATAATCCTCTAATTTACTCTTATCCTTTAATAGCTAGCAAGAAAGGAATTTTTTATATATTGTAGTAGTACAAATATGAGTGAGAACTCCTCATTTCTTAAGTAGCTTTGCTCTATAGTCTATACCTAATTTGCGTAAAAAGCTCCTTGCACAATTACTTCTCTGGCATCCCTATTAGTAATTGTGATTTTTGAGGAAGCATGCTGGGACGGAGCTAGGAATTTTGTTGAGGGAGGAGGGGGGGCAAAACAGAGGCGGATTCGAAAATTTTTTCCAGTAAAAGCGAAACATTAAAATAAAAGAGATGTTTAAAAATAAAGTACCTAAGAAATATAGGTGTAAATATTATTGGATATGGGCGAAACATAAAACACATCGAATTTGAATATATATGTATGTATGTGTGTGTATTAAATATTTAAAAAGCTATTAAAATGTGACTATGTTAAAGCCATAGATAGGGAAGGAGCCAAAAAAAACTGTAAAATTATATTGACAACGAAAAGGTTTGAACCCTTGGCCTTCATTAAAACCAAACACATGTTTTACTAACTAATCTAACTCATTTCCTATTGATAATCAACAGTTTTTATATAGAGTAAATACCCAAAATAGTCCCTCGACTATAGCTAAATTCACAAATTGGTCCTCGACTTTCAATTTCAACCAATTAAGTCCTTAACTTTGTAATTTTAACACAATTTGGTCTTCTGTCTATTTGACTGTTTGATGACTGTGATTTTTGAGGATATATATGTAATTTTATGGTCTATCGTCGGTTTTTTAAGGTTCTAGTTGCATTTCAAATCGCACTGTTACATTTGAATCCACTGCCGGAAGCAATCTACCAAATCCGGTCGCCTTTCTTCATCCTCTCTTTGGATTTAATATAGTTGAGTTTGTACCAGAGCGAAGAAAACGACGTGTTTCCGAGTGCAACGTCATCCTGGAGGCCTTCACGTGCTCCGACGAGAGCTGAAGGTTCTTCTGGAGATTGTCGATCACGGTCAACAAACGGTCAAATAGATGGAGGACCAAATCGTGTCAAAATTACAAAGTTAAGGACTTAATTGGTTGAAATTGAAAGTCAAGGACCAATTTGTGAATTTAGCTATAGTCGAGGGATCATTTTGAGTATTTACTCTTTTATATACTAATATTCAAACAAGTACGATATATACACATATACATACAAAGATTATATATGGGATGGGGGTGGGGGTGAGGGTGGGGTGAGGGGGGGGGGGGGGGGGCAGCTGACCCCATGCCTCCCCTTTGGCTCCGTCCATGGAAGCATGACGAGATGGAGATGGAGATGGAGATGAGAAAGAGTATTTTGACTTCTCTTGCAAAGATCTTATTTTTTGCCAGAGAAGATGAAAAAAAAAAAAAAAAAAAAGACAGGAGCGCATATGGAGCGTACTTGGCAAAAACCATACTATTGGAGGGATTTGGAGATGCTCTAAGAACATGCATCCACACTTGTGGATTTTATGGGGTTTTTGCAGACTAAAAAATCAAGGAAAGTTTTTAACAAGTGTGGATATGAGTTTTTGGCGTAATTTTTATTTCTGCAAGTTAAGGTTTTTTGAGGGCCCACCATGTGAGAGAAAAAACAAAGCAAAACTGAATCCCTGAACAGCGAGAGGGCCCACCATGTGAGAGAAAAAACAAAGCAAAACTGAATCCCTGAACAGGGAGACGGTCCAGACGGTTGCGTGTACCGCTCCCGGTACTCGTCTTCTCTTACTTTTTTTTTTTTTAAAAAAAAAAAAAATGTTGATAGTTATGTTAGACGTTTTTTTTCTTTTTTTCTTCTCCGTCTTTGTTGGCTCATAAAAAACTGTGAAAAATACCAAACTAATATGGTTGCTCTAACTTTTCTTCTAAAGTGTCAGATCACATGCATATTTCATGATGAACAACTCTTTTCCAATTGATATATCAATAGATCAATAGACAATATATCATTATTCCTCGTATTCATAAACTTGTCATTTTCTATTACTCCGAATTTAATATGTTAACTGTTCTAAAATTACAAAACAATGTAACAGAAGATGTAATTTTACAAAACAATACAAAAGCTATTCACTCCTAACAATTCAGAACCAATTACCAGTGGAGTGTAGAAGAGAAGAAAAAGGTTGTAACTTTGACTAACCTATGAAGATTACATATACAGTACAATTATATCAATATAGCATATCCTTTTGTGTAAGAGTGAACATCCCTGACCCATAAGTAGAACGAATGGTATCAGCCAACAGAGGGAATTGCAGAAATGCAAACAATGTTACAGGAAGGCAGGCAACTAATTCAACTGGCAACACAACCCATGCTAACTGTCTCCTTAGTACAATCGAAAAGCTTGAGCCAAATGCCACCAGCATTGCTGTTATGGAGAGGAAGAGCGTTGCAAGCCCGAAAACCAACCTCTTTGGCAATGTACTCACGAAATCTTCTTCAGCATAGCGTGACGTTAGGATGGACAAGAACATCAGTATAGAAGTGACCGAAGAAAACAGGGCGATGGCATCTGATACTGCGAAAGCAACAAACAACTTGTCTTGGAGGAAAATCGGGTTCCCTGTCTCGTTGTTATTCCCTCCTGGAACTGTAAGGATTGCTGCAAACATGATTGTTGTAATCAGGGTAGCAACAAGCATGCATGATGATGCAGTGTCCTTCATCCACTTTTCTCCTTGTTTGACTAAACTTTTGTGTTGCTCGGTGAACAACATCCGTGGTGTTTGCCCTCCTGAATCTTTCATCTCCTTGTACGATGGCTGCACAATTTTCTCCACTTCCTATAAGTGCTCACAATATGTTGAAAAGTTAATGAAAATTTAGACATTTGACTATTAAGTAAACGTTCAGTTTTACTATCAGCTTAAACTTTTAGTTAAAATGGATCACCTTAAACCACAGCAACTCGCGTTGCATCTGGAGTGCAGCCCCTGAGACAATGTTAAGTCGATTTGAAGGGGCGATTTTTGCAGCCAAGTGTAACATGTTCTCGTTGTCAGTACTTAGATATGACGCGATTATATCCTTGTGCGCTCCTATGTTGTAGATGAGTCTAAAGATGTTTTCCTGACGGTGAACCACAGCAATGTGGAAAACACTTTGGCTTTGCTCATTCACCTTCCATATTAGATCAGGATACGAGCGAATGAGCTGCACAACAAACTGAATGTTCCCTAATTCTGCTGCGACGAACAATGGATTGAAAGGAGTTTTGAGCAAGTCCCCAAGTTGTGAGCGGCTCAACAAAACCGCTTGTTCCCATGAGCAATGAAACAACTCAAGTGCTTCCATGCACATTAACTTTCTTTTCTTCATATCTGCCACTCCTAATGGTAGAAAACAGATGAAACAGTCATTTTACTTTAAAGTTGCAGAGGATTAGGGGAAAATCAAGACCATATTCTGTGTTTTGTACCAAATAATTCTTGCAGATACCCAAGTAGTCTAGTATGGAATGGATGAGCTGCATTTCCAAAACAATTCTATGGTCAATTTTTTGTACTATGACTTCAAGAATATATGATAACTGTTACATGAAATCTAACACTGTAATATGTTCAAACCTACCTTCAATGTACTTGTTGTCATGGGAGCTGTGGCTGAATTTGCTCTGAGGATGGACAGAAATACCTGTAACTTGGTAATTATCCATAAGGAGTTTTTTCCACTTTTGATCCTATGACTTTAGGATCTCCGTCAACTTGAGTTTATAACTTTCATTCCCAACAACTTGGGTTTATAACTTTCGCTGAGCACTTTTGCTCACTATTGTATCTCTTTTGTTAAACGTTCTGCGAACCGGACGGCTCATATCCTTGCAAGGGAGTCCGTTTCTATGTCTGAACCTACGGAGTGGCTTCATGTCCCTCCCTCTTTCATTTGTAATGCTCTTTCCTATGACTTAATATAAGTTCGTTGTTTGCTTTCAAAAAAAAACTTTCATTTCCAACATAATAATGCTGGAATTTGAATTTTTTTTTCTTCCAAATTCGGTCATCCCGACCTCGTGCCCGATGAAAACTCACCGGAATCTATAAATTGTCATGACATTAAGGGTAAAAATGTCTTTTGGCAAAGCTCCACTTCTCAAAATTCTTCCACCTTACGATTCTCGATTTGACCGAGAAGTGGAGCTACGCTTGTCTCCACGTAAGGTGGATGGTTAGCTTGTCAATTTGATTGAGAGGTGGAGCTTTGTCAAAAGACATTTTTACCTATAATGGCAGGACAGTTTACCTTTAATGGCACAATAGTTTATAGATTTCGGTGAATTTTCATAGGCATGTGGTCGGAAGGACCAAATCTTTAAAAAAAAATAAAAAAAAATCAAAGTCTAGCACTATTTATGTCAGAAATAAAAGTTGTGAACCCAAGTTACGTAAACTCTAAAGTCATAGGACCAAAAGTGAAAAAAAAAAATTATCCATAAGTAACTTGATGTGGATTATGGATTATGCTCAATAGGGATCGCAATGAGTCCGGATGGCTACAACCATCATCCCACCATCCCATTCACTTTATATTTTCTTCACTCACTCCGACTCCTAATTCACCCTTCATCCCACCTAATGTGGGACTGTGGGTACACACAATGGATTCAACTTATTATCTTATTAAAAAACTAATAATAATTTTTTAATTATTTAGACATAATAAAATAACAAAATTCAATAATTATAATAAAATATAAAATATTCAAATATAATAACTAAACTGTTAATTTTGTCTAAATAAATTTATTAATTTAAAACTAAAAATAGTAAAATGTTAACTACAATTATAACATTTTTTAGAATTAACTACATAGCAATACTTATTTTGCTATATATATGGTGGTTCGGATAGAGTTTTATGCAGGTTGTGTATATAAAACATGCATTTAACCTGACCGACATGGAATTCACTTTTTTAAGATTTACCACCCACTTTAACCCAATAAAATACAATCCAGGCAGAGTGGACGATTCTAGTGATATCCCTGAGAGGCCGGGATTGAAATTGTCATCCTTATGCTCAAGCAGTAATCAAACACCATCATTATAGCTTCTTAATTTGCAAGAATATAATATATATCATCTTGAAATGAAGTGCAGAAACTTACTTGTGTACATCCACTTCTGCCAGAGTCCAAGCCCATGTTTGCCAGAAAATGCTGAAGGCTTTCTTGCTAAGATATGGAGTACTGTCTCCCCATTTGGATCGCGCTCAATCGCCAGCCCAGGCTTCTGCATGAGAATATGCAGAGTGACATCTGCTGAAAATGGAACAAATTTACAGTGAAGAATAGTCCTGGTGCTCCATGACTAAACTTGTATAGTAGTTCAATTGCTATCTCCCAGCTAAAAACGTAAGTTGATATATAGTTGAATTGCACATATGTTTATATATTATATATATGCTCAACAATTATACATTGTGTCTTCTCACCAAGCAGATCAGAATTGATGGTCGCAATAAGAAGGCCAACATAATCCTCTTTATTGAGACACTGGCTATCAGTAACAGAATAAAGATACCACACCATCTCCCTGTGGCCTAACAATGCAGCCATGTGAAGAGGTGTGACTCCCTTGCTGCCCCTCACCACTGGCAAATCTGTGTTCTTTATCACCATAGTCTCCGCGATTCGTGTTATTCCAGACGCAGCGGCGAAACAAAGGGCTGTGTTATCATGCTTGTTTCTCAATGCCAAGTCCATTGGATCCATAAGCTCCACCAACTCTTCCACAAAGTGAATGTGGTTGGCTCCAGCAGCAATGTGAAGAGCTGTTTCCCACCCTTTGGAGATCCTGGCAGTAATTGCATCTGGGTGCAGACTGATGAATTCATTAGCTTTTTCCCAATCACCCTTGAGCGCAGCTTGGTATAGTGGAATGTACATGGCAAGGTTTGCAGATTGTGTCCCTGAATATAACAAGAATAAACCATAAACCAAAGATTTTTTTCCTTGCAGCCACTACCTAGAGTGTACAGGTAAACTCTACCTTGCCACCTTGACCTAGCGGACTATTAGCCTAGGTTGGTAAGGAGGATGTTAAGATTAACGAGAACAATAATGGTACAAAGTATGGTTATGCAATATGTTTACGTCCATGCGAGAGAGAATTAGTTTTTTTTTTTTTTTTTTTTAAATAATTTTGATGGTGATGAAAAACAAAGTTATAAGTATCATATTTATATGCAATACTAAATATGTACATATACAGGTGTACTATATTGTAGGGTCCGACATACACAATAGGGGAGAACCCATTGAAACTAAGAAGACTAATGCCTAAATCAAAGATTTTTTTACCCACAGCCATTACTTAGGGTGTGCCAGTAAACAATACCTTGTAACCCTATCGGACTATTAGCTTAGGTTGGTAGGGAGGATGTATGTTAAGATTGACGAGAACAATAAATGATAACAAAAGTAGAAAGTATATGGTTATGCTATTTTTTATTTGTAATGATCCTGGTGATGATAAAATAAGGTTATAAGCATCATATTTATATGTAATACTAAACATGTACATATACAGATGTATTATATCATATCGCAGGGTCTTACCCACTACATTTGTACATATAAAACATATACAATGAAAGATAACTTGTTGAAACTAAGAAGGCTTATGTCTAATATAAGTTGCTCCCTGTTGAGAGTATAACTTGTAATTACCAACTAAACTTGGCTGGGATGATAAATCAAAGATTTTCATATATATCTCAAAAGGATGACAAAAAAGGGTGGCAAATGATGGTTACTTGGTCTAGCAGGGAAAGAAGCGGCGGCGGGCCTGGCAGTCTCGTCTCGGAGGGGATTGGATGACGGCGGCGCCGCTGCTGCAGCGGCTTTGGATTGGGTGTGGTCATGGTGGGTAGTCTGTTGGAGTGAAATAACATGCTCCGCCGTTGAGATTGAGTTGTATACTTCGCTGCTTTCATTAGATGTCGGGTTTGAGGTTCTTCGGGGAAAACAAGATTGAATTGAAAGGGTGCGTTCAAGTTTCAACGTTCTCTGCAAACCATCCATGCCGCCTTCTTTTCAATTGGATCACTTAGAAAATTTCAAGCTGCAAGACAATGTCGTCGAGATTCCTAGCTAGGATAGCTACCTGGCTGGGTTTTACATTTATGGTAACTAAAGTCAACAGGTCCATTGACATCTGACGCGCTGCATGGAATTGAAGTAGCTTCACGTAACCTTCCTTGAAAACGACATTCTTGGCTTCCTGGAAACTCAAAACTGAACATCCACACTTCGATCAACTTCTTCCATCCTTACCCACTTCACCGGTAAATTATTGTGTGGACCACAGTCCAAAACGACTGTTGTTAAATTTTATGAGTTAAAATGATATATGTTATGAGTTAAGAATAATATAATATACATTATGTGTTAGAATAATGAAACTTTTGAGGTAAGATAATGTACTTTATGAGTTAAAATAATGTACATTATGCTTTGAAATAATGTACATTATAAGTTATAAAAATGTATGTTGCAGTGGGTCGCGTGAAAAAATTGTTTCACCCCACCGACCATGCCTCGACATGGGAGCCCGATTGACGATTTATATCATGGACCAGGGTCCATATAGCATTATGGACCCTAGATCGAAACGAGGTACATAATTCATACTCTAAGGTATAGGATTTCATAACATAAGATACAAAAAATCACAACACAAAGACAAATACACATGTTATATATTTACTTATTTTTCAAATATGAGTTAAGTACATAATTTATGTTTATAGGCACATACTTTCACAACACAAGACACATAAAGTCATGACATAAGACACAATTACTAATTTGTTTCAGGTACAGAATTCATACTCTTAAGGTACAGAATTTCATAACACAAGACACAAAAACTTACAACATAAAACACATATACATGGATCCACAATGCAATGTGAACCCTGGTCCATGGTATAAAGAATTAAGGATTGAGTCCGGCTAATCTTGGCCAACCAATATAATCCTTCAATCATTATTGTGTGGATCATACAGCTATGTAGACTATAGTATCAAATAATATACATTCAATACATAAATAATATATTTTTAATATATTAAAAATGTACATTATATTCAGGAAAGTAAATTATTTGAGTACTGAAAGTACATTATTTTATATAATGTATATTCAATACACAAATAATGTACTTTTAATATATTAAAAATGTACTTTTTATTATGATCGACATAACACTGTGTGGACCATGTAATTTACCCCGGCCCAATCCCTTAGTCGTTATATTATAGACATGCACCGCGGTCAAAAACGACGCCGTTTCTTTAAGTAAAGAAACGGCCCGCCGTTAGAGTTAACGGAGTCCGTTTGTTTAGTATATTAAACACCAACTGACACTACAGTATATCCAAACCGACACTGCAGTTATATCAAAATGATACTGTAGTTATAGTGAAATGAAACTGCAGTGTATATAAACTGAAACTGAATAACATTTCACATATTTGAGTGTATATTGTACAACGAAGCTGTAATTATATCAAAATGATCATGTAGTTGTGTTTTAATGAAACTATAGTGTATATAAAATAAAATTAAGTAACATTTTCACATATTTGAGTCTATAAATATCGAATGAAACTATAGTTATATCGAAATGAAACTGTAGTTGTATTCAACTGAAACTGCAGTGTATACAAAATGACACTGAATAACAGAGTTACTTTTTGCAAAAGGGTGCGAAACGGCGGAAATAAACACTGTTAATTTTCATTTAAAAAAAAAGACGCGCGGTGCATAATCGATTATGCACCGCGGTGCATAATATAATTTGCCCCAATCCCTACCACCACTCATTTTTATTGGCCCACAATGTCTTCTCTACTTTTGGCCCATAAAACAACTTCTCCCTCTTAGGACAATCATAATTCCGTGGGTAAAATAATGTATATTCATTACAAAAATAATGTACATTATACTCAGGAGATGTACATTATTTTTGTTCTGAATATACATTATATTGTATAATGTACATTCAATACAAAAATAATGTACATTTAATATATTAAAAATGTACTTTTTATTATAGTCCACATAACATTATGTGGACCATGGTCCACACAATAATTTGCCCTCTTAGGCCGCCCTGGGCAAATTATTCTGTGAAACATAAAAGAAAGTACATTTTTAATATACTAAAAGTATATTATTTGTGTATTGAATGTACATTATATACAATAATATACATTCAATACATAAATAATATATTTTCTCTGAATACAAAATACATTTTTAATATATTAAAAGTACATTATTTTTTAACTAAATATATATTATTTTATAGTATATGAAATATGGTCCACACAGCTTGTGTGGGCCATGGTCCACAAATAAGACCACCATGTTTTTTTCTATAGTCCATCAAGACCTTTAACACGGCGTTTGGTTGAAGGGAATTTAAATTCCCTTCCCACCTAATTTCAAAGGCCACAAAATTTCCTTGTTTGGTTGAAAGGAATTGCAATTCTATGGAATTGCAATTCCCCCATTTTCATGGAATTAAAATTCCATGTCCCCCCTGGGATTTTAATTCTTGGGATTTTAGGAAGAAAAAAAGATAGTGATGAGTCAAAACTACCCCTTCTTTTTTTAACCTAAAATTAATGCCTAACAACAACAATAGACATTTTTGACTTTGTACTACTTATTCCCTTTCAATTCCCATGTATACCAAACATTGGAATTGAAATTTTCAGTAATTCTATTCCCGTAAACCAAATACTGGAATTTAAATTCCACTTTATTCCTAGTAATTCATTTCCCATGGAATTATAATTTTTTTTCCACGTAATTCCCCCTCTCCAACCAAACGCCTTGTTAGTCTTATCACCAAAACCCCACCAATAAAGATGACCTCTTCTTAGGCATTAGGCTAAGACTCTACCAATAAAACTTGGCCCCAAGGCTCCATCATGTTTAATTTTGAACGTTTACTTATTTAAAGTAAATATTTCCATACATTATGTTTTGTTTTTTAAATAATGCTACGGAGTATGTTGTATTCTTTTAAATAATTTGTCTGCGGGAAACTTAAAAATCTGGGTTATATTTGAGTGGGTTGAAAATTATAATTGTTACAGATGTTTGATATTAGTATAGCATATCCTTATGTCTAAGAGTGAACATCCTGATCCATAACTGAAATGAATGGTATAAGAAATTGCAGAAATGTAAACAATGTTACAGGAAGGCTGGCAATTAATTCCATTGGCAACAAAATCCATGCTAACGGCCCCCTTAGTACAATCGAAAAGCTTGAACTAAATGCTACCACCATTGCTGTTATGGAGAGGAAGAGCGTTGCGAGCCCGAAACCCAACATCTTTGACAATGTACTCACGAAATCTTCTCCTGCATAGCGCGACGTTATGATGGACAAGAACATCAGTGTAGAAGTGACAGAAAAAAATAGGGCTATGGCATCTGATACTGCAAAAAATAATGAACAACTTGTCTTGGAGGAAAATCGGGTTCCTTGTCCCGTTGTTATCCCCTCCTGGAACTGTTAGGATTGTTGAATTGCAAACATGATTGTTGTAATCAGGGTAGCAACAAGCATGCATGATGATGCAGTGCCCTTCATCCATTTTTCTCCTTGTTTGACTAGATTTTTATGTTGCTCGGTGAACAACATATGTGGTGTTTGTCCTCCTGAATCTTTCATCTTCTTGTATGATAGCTGCACAATTTTCGTCACTTCCTATAAGTGCTCAGATAAGAGGAATACAGTGTTACAAAATGTGGAAAAGTTAATGAAAATTTAAACATATTGACTGTGCGGCAATCACCTTAAACCACAACAATTCGCGTTGCATCTGGAGTGCAGCCCCTGAAACAATGTTAAGTCGATTTGAAGGGGCGATTTTTGCAGCCAAAGTGTAACATGTTCTCATTGTCAGTATTCTATGTTCCCCTCCCAATAAAAGCAACCTATTGACTAAGCAACCTAGATGGTTTAAGTCCTTATGGTCTTTTACAGGCAAAGGTCACAAGACGAAATTTACCCGTGCGCTGTGACGGGTAATCATCAGTAACTCCAAATTATCCGCTACATCACAACACCATTGACTTTCATTTGCAGAGACCAATAACCTTATAACAATACAACTCAAACGTCCACATCTACATTAGACAAAGCAACCTTACAAACTTGCAAACAATGTTACAGGAAGGCGGACAACTAATTCCACTGGCAACAAAATCCATGCTAACTGCCCCCTTAGTACAATCGAAAAGCTTGAACTTAATGCTACCACCACTGCTGTTATGGAGAGGAAGAGCGTTGCGAGCCCGAAACCCAACATCTTTGGCAATGTACTCACGAAATCTTCTTCTGCATAGCGCGACGTTATGATGGACAAGAACATCAGTGTAGAAGTGATAAGAGAAAATAGGGCTATGGCGTCTGATACTGCAAAAATAATGAACAACTTGTCTTGGAGGAAAATCGGATTCCTTGTCCCGTTGTTATCCCCTCCTGGAACTGTTAGGATTGTTGCAAACATGATTGTTGTAATCAGGGTAGCAACAAGCATGCATGATGATGCAGTGCCCTACATCCATTTTTCTCCTTGTTTGACTAGATTTTTATGTTGCTCGGTGAACAGCATCTGTGGTGTTTGCCCTCCTGAATCTTTCATCTCCTTGTATGATAGCTGCACAATTTTCGTCACTTTCTATAAGTGCTCAGATAAGAGGAATACAATGTTACAAAATGTGGAAAAGTTAATGAAAATTTAAACATTTTACTATGCAACAATCACCTTAAACCACAACAATTCGCGTTGCATCTGGAGTGCAGCCCCTGAAACAATGTTAAGTCGATTTGAAGGGGCGATTTTGCAGCCAAGTGTAACATGTTCTCATTGTCAGTACTTAGATACGACGCGATTAGATCCTTGTGTGCTCCTATGCTATAGATGAGCCTGAAGACCTTTTCCTGACGGTGAATGACAACAATGTGGAAAACACTTTGGCGTTGCTCATTTACCTTCCATATCATATCAGGATAAGAGCGAATAAGATGGAGAACAAACTGAATGTTTCCTAATTCAGCTGCAACGAACAATGGATTGAAAGGCCTTTTGAGCAAGTTCCCAGTTTGTGAGCAGCTCAACAAAAGCACATGCTCCCATGAACACTTAAACAACTCAAGCCAGGTTGTAGATACCCATGTAGTCTAGCAATGAATGGATGAACTGCAGTTTCCTGTTTGGTAAAATAGTTAGCGTATAGGTCAATTTTGGCTTATTTGACCATTATTAGTTGTTTGACTTGGTTTAAAAATCATTATAATTGTTTGGTTAATTAGCTTTTTGTACTCCAAAATGCTAAAATTGAAAAAGCTACTTAAAGCAACTTTTTCAATTAGATTTTTGAGAAAATAAATTATACCGAACAACTAATAGCTAATTTACCAAACACATTTCTACAATCAGCTAATGTTATCAACTAGTTATATCCACTAATTAACCCAATCAGCTATTAGCCATTTACCAAACAGGGCCGAAATCTCAACAGCGTAATATGTTCACAACTATCTTTAGTGTATTTTTTGTAATTGGGATCAAACTCATCAGAGCTGTGGATGAACAGAGATACCTGTTAAAATTGGGATCAAATATCAGTTAAACCAATAACCATTCCCTGACTAAATTGTGTTCATTTTCTCTATTTGCTTTACTCCTAAGTCATAACTTTATCAATAGTTAACAAACACAACAGATAGAGATTAATTTTGTTGTCCAGTAACTTATATTATTGTCTTTCTATTTAATCTGCAAGAATATAACCTTGAGATAAAGTGCAGAAACTTACTTATGTATATCTATTTCTGCAAGACTCCAAGCCCGTGTTTGCCAGAAAATGCCAAAGGCTTTCTTGCTAAGATATGGAGTCCTAGCTCCCCATTTGGATCGCGTTCAATTGCCAGTTCAGGCTAGTTATGAAGTATATCCAGGGTAACATCTATTGGAAATGGAACAAATTCATTAAGCAATATATATTGAAGCAAAGTCCTCAAACAAATAAAGTATACATTAGTGCCTTCTCACCAAACAGATCATAATTGATAGTTGCAATAGAAAGTCCAACATAATCATCTCTACTAAGACAACAATGATCAGTAACAGTATAAAGATACCACACCATCTCTCTATGACCTAACAATGCAGCCATGTGAAGAGGTGTCACCCCCTTGCTGCCACTCACCACTGACAAATTTTTGTTCTCTGATACCATAATCTCCACATTTCTTTTTATTCCAGATGCAGCAGCAAAACACTCTGGAGTGCAGCTTGGCATAGAGGAATGTTAGGCATCGTTTGACTGAGAAACTGTAGTTAACTCATCCTTCAACGGTGTCATGAAGGACTTTCCGGAGGCCTTCTGTAGCTTGTTGGCCAAAGTGTTGGACGCATGTCTTCCCAATCGTCCAAAAAGTTCAAAGCTTCTATCATGTTTTCTTGCAGACAACTAGCCTTTGATCACCCCCAAACTTCAACACCAAATCAAGGTCATCATCGTGAAGCTCCTTCAAAACGAAACAAACAGGTCAGCGCTCAAAACCCATTGAATCTGCATTTCAAGACTGGGTTTGGTATACCTTTCTCCAAGAATGAGTAGTTGGAAGTGGTAACGGTCATATCACAATATTTATCTTTTCCCGACAATGTAAGTGGTATCTTTCTGGGGAATGATCCCCAAATACCCTATTATTTTAGTCCCTTTGTTGATGTTTTGTGAGGGATTTCAGAAGTTAATGGAGTAGAACAATAGAAACGATAAAAGAGTGAGAGTCGCAATCGTTGCGGCCGTAGTAAAATTGATTTTGCATTTAGCTACACTATCCAAAGACGACACTAATTCCAGTTTTTTGACCCAAATGATTATCGAGTTGAATGATATTGTTTCCAGTGACTATATTACATGTTATATTCTTAACTGATCAACAGGTTATTAGTTATGATTTGTATTAGTCCTTAGCAGACTAAAAAGTCTATTCAGCCCTCTTTCTAAACTTTTTAACTTCCTCGGGACAAAAAAATGGTATCAGAGCAGTTGTTTGTGGTATCAGAGAAGTTGTTTGTGGTATCAGAGCAGTTGTTCGATTCGACGTGTGGGATTGGCCACTACAAACAACAACTAAAAATAAGCGCTTAAGGAACAACGAAAATACAGACCCACACGTTGGTAATGATATCTCCTGGAGTTTATTAACTAACCATATATATTATTTTTATTTTTATTTACTATTTTTATCATATAAATGTCTTTTGCCTTCTCCTATAAACACCACCACCACTACTTATTATTATTATTATTATTATTATTATTACAAATTGTATGTTTATTTTCCAACCACCTAAAAATATGATCGAAAAATGACATTTTTTCAATTTTTCATCAAAAGATTATGATGGGAAAATAGGTCGGAATTTCCGACCACCTTTACTTAGTGGTCGGAAATACCAACGACAAAGTAAAGGTGGTTGAAAAAAAAATTGGACAGTTTAAATTTTTTAAACTGGGTTGAGAATTTCCGCCAATCTTTCTAGTAGCCGTTTATTCCGATCACTTTTCAAAATTGGATGCTATTTCCGACCACCTCTCCGGTGGTCAGAAATAGCGACCAAGATTTTTCCGGATACCAAAAGTGGTCGGAATAAGGGCTTCCGACTTCATTTAAGATCACTTTTAGGTAGTCGAAAATTTCTTAATTTTCGACAGTGTAACCACAATATTCTAAGTTCGCCTCCCAGTAGAAGCAATCTATTGACTAAGCAACCTAGATGGTTTAAGTCCTTATGGAATTTTCAAGGAAAGGAAGAGTAGTAGCCTTACTTTAATTACGGATCTAGGAAATGAAGTAGAGAGTGTGTGTGGAGCAGTGGTTGAGCTGACAAGCTGGTGTTGGAAGGTATTGAGTGACGCCGTTGTAGCAGCAGCCACCTCGACATAATCGTGGTGGCTACTCAGCTGAAGTGAAATAAAATGTTCTGCCACCATTGAGGTTGGGGTTCCTATGTTACTGCTAGTCGTGGAAGAAGCACTGGAAGCCCTTTGCGGGAAGCATGCATGACTGGATTGAAAGGGTGTGTTCCAGTTTCAAAGTCTGCAACCGATCCATGTCGCCTTGTAATTTTCATTGCAAGGCGATACTCGACCACATTCTTCGCCTTATTTATTGTAAGCCAAGTTAAAGGTCTGGTGACGATATGCATGGAATCTTCTTGGCATGAAAACGCCATAAAACATGGGATTAATTTTCCTATTTTTGAGGTGTCCAAGACCCTATAAATAGGGATCTATGTAATGAAAGAAGATTTGAAATTTCCAAGAATTAAAAAGAAAAATATTATTTGGAAGGTGCTGCAAGAAAATTTCAAAATAGAGAAAATTGGTGTACTATCTGGAGAAATCAGCTCCACTTTATATTAGTATAAGCTGTGTTGAAATCTAGATTGGTTACAGTTTGTTTAATTAGTAGAATTAGTTCAAACTGTATTTGTAAACTTTTCCATAAAGTTGTTTTATGAGGTTAATGTTTAAATAAGTGGTAAACCTAGTTTCGTAATTCAAATGAACCTTAGCTTGTAATTGTAAAAATCACGGGTTGATCTTGAGTGAAAAAAAATTTGAGCGTGGCCCCGCATATTATGATGTGTTCTCCAACTACGTTGTCAAATTCAGTTGTGTGCTTACTTAGGTGATTCATTTACTACTTTATATTGTGTATGGGTTTTAATTTGGTGTGTATTATAAAATGAACTTTTGTAATTTGCATGATGCATTTTTGAGTTAACTCGTTAAGAAATTAACCTCTTAGCGCATGCATATGTTTAATAGAACATGTTTAACCACATATCAAAATCTTCCTAATAGTTTCGAGTAAGTAAAAGTAAAGATCTATCAATAACATTTGTTTTTGTTTTTTCAAAAAAAAAAAAAAAAAAACTTTTGTTATACTTAATTTTTAAAGTACGGTAATTAAATTGATGAACTTAATGATACATAAATTAAAATGAATATTTTATATTAGTATAAATTAAACTTAATACAATTTCTATAATTTAATTAACGGATTTCAATTATAATGAGATGGGATTAGGGGATTATTCATTTATTCTCATGAAGCCGGAGTGAAAAATAGATAATACCAATTGATGGAGATCGAGATAATTTTAGCGTATTTTTAAGTTTGACTATTGCTTAATTTTTGAATGGATAATGTATTTATTAATGTTATTTTATAATTTAGAAAATGTTTAATAAATGTTAAAGAAAGAATAGTATAATGAATCAATTTACTAAAATTTTGAACCAATGGCCTCGTTTTAGTTTTATCATTCAATTTACTGCCATGGATTACAACCGTTCTTTGTATTTTTCAAAAGTATTCTTTCTTTTTTTTTTAATTTTTTAAAAAGAGTTCATATTTTTATATTTACAATTCATTAAATATTTTCTTTATATTCTTATAGTTCATTCTCAAAATAGAATATAGTATTAAAAATAACATTTAATTATATTTTTAAAAAAAACTTTTACGAGATATATGGTGTCAACTTTGTAAAAATTGCAAATTTTACAATCTTAATCTTAATATGAAAATAGACATGTTAAATTGTTAATTTATAATTTACACACAACGTTTTATGATTCAATTTAATGCAAACAATTAGGGTCCGTTTAGAAAGCAGAAAAATAACTTCTGAAAAATATTTTCTGAAAAATGAGTCATTTTTCGAAAAACGTTTCCTTTCTCGTGTTTGGCTGCACAACAGAAAACTGTCTTTGTGTGTTTGGCTTATTTTCTGGAAAATGATGTAGAATTGTATGATTAAACATTTTATATAATTAATTATTTTGTTTAAAATATATTAAATTTACAATAATATTATAAATAATAATATTATATATTTTTTTAAATTAAATAATATTATTTATTAAAAAATTTAAAAAAATAACAAAAAAAAATGACGGAAACCACAGAGTATAACTCTCTGGTTTCCGCCGTTCTCTCTGGTTTCGCCGGAAACCAGAGAGGATTGCTATCTGGTGTCCGCCATGGTCCCGGCCGCGAGGCACGGCGCGTCAGGTGCGAACGCCGCCGACGTCGATCTGTTCACCGCCTTCACAATCACCATGGCTCACGATCAATCCAACAACGAAGATGTCCTCATGATCAATCCAGGGTTGGGTTTGAGAATTGGGGGGAATTCACAGTGTTAGTTGTTGTTGTAGATAGAAACGACGGTGGTTGTTGTTGTAGACAGAGACAAAGGTGGTTGTTGTTGTAGACAGACGAAGGTGGTTGTTGTTGTAGGCCAAAGAAGTCTTCCGGAAAATGACTTCCCCCAAAAAAAATTTGGGGAAGTCATTTTCCGGAAAGTTGAGCTCATTTTCCATTGATCATGCCTCATTTTCCTTTGACTTCTCATTTTCCCTAGCCAAACACCAAAAATCATTTTCCAGGTTTCCAAACACACCCTTAATGTAAAACGTAGAAAATTGTCTGTACTGGATTACGATCGCTTCTAGCTTAGTAGCCACTCAATCATTATTCTACAGATATACACATTTGTGTGAATCATAAATAAAAAAATATTTCGCATACTTTTAATATATTAAAAGTAAATTATTTATATACATAAATATATTATTTAAAAGTACATATTATATATATATATATATATATATATATATATATATATATATAGTTAATCAACGATTTGGTCCCTCAGTTATTGCCAAACTGTGAATGTTGTCCTTTAATTCCTTAATCATCGATTTAGTCCCCGAAAAAAACTGTTTTTAGTCATTTTAGTCCCTCCGTCCGTTTTCCGGCTACACTCCGATTAGGCCTCCGATTTACCAGGGTCATTTTTGTCATTTCATTTGTTCATTTGCTTCGTTCAAAAGGGGCTTATTACACTTAGTACAGTAGGTAGAGTGTCCTTAAGACAGTGGGAGCAAAATCTACAAAATCCTTGCAAAATCCAACGAAAATCTACCAAACCAGAGCAAAATCGCATGAATTGGAGCAAATTCGAAGGTATTGGAGCAACACCATGACGAGTCGGAGGATTAATGGCTTTGCTGTGACGCCAAATTGTAAGTTTTTGAATTTAGGGTTTTTTTTTTTTGGAAGATTACGTTTTTTTTAGACATAGAACCTTTACATGAGGAATTTTGTTATCAGGTACATTTGGTACTTGTAGTTGCTGTTGTTGTTGCATTTACTATTGTTAGGTCCACCAGTGCATTAATGTTTGTTTATGATAGTTGTTTGGGGGACCCGGTTTTAAGCTTTTGGTGTGATTATTGTTTGCTTTGTATATACATATTTTGGAGGTGGGGACCATGTGCAGGTAGACAGTGCTGCCTTTACAGGAGCACTTTGTTTAACAATGGGGACCATGTACTTATTTTTTTGTCTGTAATGTCTATGTATGTCTTTTTTTATTTTATTTTTTTAAACTTTTCTTGATTATTATATCTTTATTTGATATAGATGATGGTGAGGAAGAATCTGTGTTTACAATAAAATTGCATATTGGTGGGGATTTGGTATTGAAACCTAGGATTAGTTATGAAAATGGGATAGTGGAGTACTTTGACCATTTTAACTGTGATGAAGGTAGTATTGAAGATTTGAGAAGGATGGTGAGAATGCTTAGGTTTTGTGACAAAAAAGTGCAGTTTTGGTATAAGGTTGTGCACAGAAGAAAACCTACAGTTTTAAGGATAAATAGTGATGCTGATATCCTAGGGTTGATTACTGAAATTCCAGTGAACAAAGAGGTTGATATATATGTAGAGCATTTGCATGAAAATCAATGGGACAATGATGTAGAAATCTCTAGGGAACTAGGAGATGATGTGTTATTGCATGATGAAGAAGGTGATTCTGATGAAGGAGTTGATTCTGATGAAGGAGGGGATGAAGGAGGACCTGATGTGTTTCCAGTTGATGTAAACAATCTTAAGGATACTGGTAATAGTACACAACCAAAGGGGATAGAGGATATTGTGGAGATTGACTGTAATTTGTCTGAACAAGTACTAAGAAGTTTGTGTGATTCTGATTCAGATGGCCAAGTTGTTGGGCCACTAAATGTGTTTGAAGAGAGACTTCTTAAAAAGGAAGGGTTTAAATTTGTGATTGGAATGGTGTTTACTTGTTCTAAACAGTTCAAGTGGGCAATTCAGTACCATGAAAGTGTGAGGCAGAAAGATGTGATGTTCAAGAAGAATGAGGCTAGAAGAGTTAGGGTAGTGTGTAGACACAATAAAATCTGCAAGTGGTCTATTTTTGCTTCAAAAAGTAATCCATCTTCTCCATTTACTATCAAGAATTACAACTCTGTACACACCTGTGGGAATCAAGATGAAAACAAGGTTGTAACTTCTGGATTTCTAGCAAAAATTTTTAAGGATGATTTCAGGATGAATGCAGAATGGGGTAGAGGACCATTTCAGGAGCATGTGAAGTCTAAGTTTAACTGCCAGCTAACTAGAAACCAAGCCTATTTGGCCAAAAAGAAAGCTTTAAAGCAATTGGATGGACAGGACTCAGAACAGTTCAAGCTATTGAATGATTACTGTGAAGAGCTGAAAAGAAGTGAATGGAACCACTGTCAAAATGAAGTTAGACAGTGAATTTATAGTGAATGGAAGGCCTAGGTTTGTAAGGCTTTACATTTGCTTTGGAGCATGCAAGGAAGGATTTGTGAGAGGGTGTAGACCTATTATTGGGCTTGATGGCTGCCACCTAAAGGGTCCTCAAAGAGGAGGGCAACTACTCAGTGCTATAGGTGTAGATGGTGATAATAGCATTTTCCCAGTGACATTTGCTGTTGTGGAGGGTGAGTTGAAGGAGTCATGGACTTGATTTTTAGGGTTATTAGACAGTGACTTAAATCTCAGTAATAACCCTGGTGCTTGGACAATCATTTCTGATAAACAAAAAGGTTTAATACCTGCTGTGGAGGAATTATTTCCAGGGCTTGAGCATAGGTTTTGTGCAAGGCATTTACATGCAAATTTTTTGAAGGATGGTTTTACAGGTCACCAACTGAAAATGCTATTCTGGGCAGTGTGTAAGGCTACTACTGAGGCTGAATTTCATGCTAAAATGGAGGAGCTTAAATTAGAAAATCCTAAAGCTTTTGATTGGCTAAGTGCAAGAGATCCAAAACACTACTGTAGGGCCTTTTTCAGCACATTCCCAAAATCAGATATGCTTCTAAATAATGTGTGTGAAGTCTGGAACAGTTGCATTTTAAATTTCAGGAATAAGCCAATCCAAACCATGGTTGAAAAGATAAGGTTGTATTTGATGACTAGGATGCAAAAGAATAGGGACAGAATGAGTTCTCATCCATTCAAGGTGTGCCCAAGAATTATGAAAATAATTGAAGAAGGGAAAGATATGTCTGCCAGATTCAATGCATATAAAGCAGTTGGTGAAATTTATCAAGTGGATGATGACAACTTCAAGCCTTTCAAGGTTGATCTAGGTGGTAGGCAGTGTAGTTGCAGAAGATGGGACCTCACTGGCATCCCTTGTACACATGCCATTGCAGCTATAAGGAAACAAGGTGATCATCCAGAAGATTATGTCCATGCATGTTTTACAGTGGAGTACTATATGAGAGCATATGGTCCTGCAATCTTGCCTATCCGAGCTCCAGAATTATGGCCCAAAACTAATCTACCACCTCCAATCCCACCAAAATATAAAGCACAACCAGAGAGACCAAAAAAAGAAGAGAAAGATAGACTCAATTGTTGAAAAGCCAATAAAACAAAAGGTACAAAAAAGGGTGAAGTTAAAAAGTGACATCTGTGTGGCATGAGTGGTCATAATAGGGCAACTTGCAAGGGTAAAGGAAAACAGGTAATGCTTAACTGTTTTTCTTAACTGTCTATTAATAATTTTCCTATACTCATGTATTTATTCCTTGAAGGCACAAGAACCAGAGGCAGTTTTGGACAATGAAGAGCAGCATGGAGTTGATGAGCATGAGCAACAACATGAATTCCAAGATGTGGCTGTTGAGACACAAGTTCCAGAATTTGTGCTAACTGAAATGGTAAGTACACTTGGACATAAATCTTTAATATAAATTGTTGTTTATTAATGTTTTTTGCTCATATTGTCAGGCATTAATGTCATCCCAACCATCACAACCACTTGAAGGAAGCAATGTGATCCCAACCATCTCAAACTTTATCTCATCACACATCTCATCCACCACTGCTGTTGAGCATGAGATTACTACTAGAAGGAAGAAATATGTAACTGTTGGAGGCCTTAAAAACATGAAGAAAAAGTGAAGATGTTGTATTTTGTAATGCTTTTTGTAAGAAAGAGTAAACAAACTGCTTTTTGTAATGGTAGTCTGATAGCTAGGGTGCAAACTCTATTTTGTATTTGGTGTTAATGTTAAGTTTGTTTGTATTTTGTAATGCTAGCCACTGTTGTGCAAAGTCTAAGTAGTGTTCAAATGAAATTTGTGCATTCTGTAAACAATATTCAAGTAAATGAAGTTTGTTTACTCTTTCTATAATGCTTTGTTGGTATTCAGTGCTCACTGTAATGGTCTGATTTGGAAAATTCTGTGTCAAATGGTATTCAGTGCTCAGTGTTCAAATGGTATTCAGTGCTCACTGTAAGTTGGCAGTGTGTAAACTACATAATGCTCACTGTAATGGTGTGTATCTGTGCTAATTGGAAAATTCAGTGTGTAATGGTCTGATTTGGAAGTGTGTAAGTTGACAGTGTGTAAACTACAAAATGGTCACTGGAAACAACCAAAATGCTCACTGTAAACTGGAAATAAAATACTTCATTATGAACTCATTACACCATTCAATTACTGGAAATAAAATACCACAAATTTAGTTCATTACATCATTCACTTGGTTAACTACTTGTGGACTAACATAAACTAAACCTACTTGAGCTGCAATAACCCTTTACTTGGTTCACCACTTCTCATCCAAATACTCATAACAAGGACTGCAAATACAACACCGAATCCAAATCCATACAAAAACTTCAAATTTGACTCCCAAATCTTCTTCTTAATTTCATGCTCCTTTTTCTCAATTGTAAATTGCAGCTTTTCAATTTCATGCTCATACTTATTTGCCCTCTTCAACAAACCTCTAAGCACATTTGTAACTCTTTCGGAGACATCATAATCCATCCATTCAAAATACCTGCAGCTGTCATTTCCCTAACCATACACCATTCAAAAATTCGATTTATTTAACAAGATTTAACCTAACAAATTTTAACATCGCAAATTTTACACTTACCCCGTATCTTGGACATGCCCTATATCTCTTCCCTGGGTTAGCATAACTCCATGACATCTTCATTGGAGCCAAAAATCCGCACCTACATCGCACCTCCGCCATAAATTCCGATGAAGAACTTTGGTTGCAAGACATTACCTCTTCCTTGCGAGTTTGCTCAGATTTGCGATTTTGGTTGTGAAATCCTCCCTTCTGTTGAACGATGAAGTGTAATAAGCCCCTTTTGAACAAAGCAAATGAACAAATGAAATGACAAAAATGACCCTGGTAAATCGGAGGCCTAACCGGAGTGTAGCCGGAAAACGGACGGAGGGACTGAAATGACTAAAAATAATTTTTTTCGGGGACTAAATCAATGATTAAGGAATTAAAGGACAACATTCACAGTTTGGCAATAACTGAGGGACCAAATTGTTGATTAACTCTCTCTCTCTCTCTCTCTCTCTCTCTATATATATATATATATATATATATATATATATATATATATATATATATATTATCAAATAATATACATTCAATATTTCAGTATACAAATAATATATTTTTAATATATTAAAAATATATATTACATTCATGATCCACACAATAATTTGTCGTAGTCACTAGCCACGTCCTACGTCAAACTACCACCTGGCAATGTTGACAAAGTCAACATCCACTGGTTTCTGTACCATTCCAGACATTTAATTTAGAATTTGCGATCAGAAATTCGACACATATACATACTATTTAAAAATTAGTAAGTCATAATTTTTGTTTTTGTTTTCTTTTCTTCTTCCTCTAAATTCAGGACACATGTTAACAGTTGTACTCGTTTAAGAACAATATAAAATTTTCAAATTTAAAATAAATGTCTTGCAAATTTTAAGCTTGTCTTTATAAGAGTAAATACTCAAAATGCTCCCTCGACTATAGTTAAATTTACAAATTGGTTCTCGACTTTCAATTTCAACCAATTAAGTCCTTAACTTTGTAATTTTAACACAATTTGGTCTTCTGTTTGTTGACTGTGATTTTTGAGGATATATATGTAATTTCATGGTTCATCGTCGGTTTTTTAAGATTCTGAGGATATATATGTAATTTCATGGTTCATCGTCGGTTTTTTAAGATTCTGGTTGCATTTCCAGACCACACTGTTACATTTGAATCCACTGCCGAAAGCAATCTACCAAATCCGGTCGCCTTTTTTCATCCTCCTTTTGGATTTAATGTAATTGAGTTCGTACCAGAGCAAAGAAGACGACGTGTTTCCGAACCAGTGCAACATCATCCTAGAGGCCTCCACGTGCTCCGATGAGAGTTGAAGGTTCTTCTGGATATCGTCGATCACAGTCAACAAACGGTCAAATAGATAGAGGACCAAATCGTTTCAAAATTACAAAGTTAAGGACCAAATCGTGTCAAAATTACAAAGTTAAGGACTTAATTGGTTGAAATTGAAAGTTAAGGACTAATTTGTAAATTTAGCTATAGTCGATGGACTATTTTGGGTATTTACTCTCTTTATAATTATATTATGATTAGTTCAAGAGAATGAAAAAAAAAAAAAAAAAAAAAAAAAAAAAAGTCAATTTTGTCTCTAGCTACATACAATTCCGATCCATGCATCCACAAACAGATATGATATACTATGAAAGATATACAATAAGTAGGGTTTTTATTGACATATTACATGAACAACACCGGCAATGGAAACTAACAAATTAAAGTCACTAAACCCACCACTCAAAAGAAGATGAAAATATAAAAATAAAAATAAAAAACATCGCAGGTCAATTATCAAAATGCTCTTTCACTACAATAACTTCGCCATCACTTTCAGTTTCGTCAAACAATATCCTTAATATTAAATTCGTACCATTTTTAATTATATATATTGTATTCATCAGAAGTATTATAATATGTACGAATTTAACTATCAAAGACATTATTAAGCGAATTTGAGAGAGTGTTGACGAAATTATTCTAATCTGGAGACAATTTCGATAATTTACTCTATCACCACAAATCCACAATATTTTTTATGCCTATGCTGGGGCAGGAGGAGTGAAGAAAGGAATGTTAGGGATAGGCGGCAAAGGTGGAAAGGGAGGGAGGCCAGGAATGCTAGGGAAGGGCAGTGGGGGAGGGAGTGGAAGTTGAGGAATCCCAGGAATTGGGGGTGGAAGTGGGAAATTAGGAAGTGGTGGGGTGGGAAATGGAAAGTTGGGAAGAGGCGGGGTAGGAAATGGAAAATTCGGAAGAGGCGGGGTAGGAAATGGAAAATTCGGAAAAGGTGGGGTGGGAGATGGAAGATCCGGAAGAGATGGGGTAGCGACCGGCAAAAAATCTTTCTCTTCACCCCAGTTAACCCTAACCCTACCACCCTCGCCACCATTATCTTCCGTATTCTTCTCCGCCGGTAGTTGACGAGAATCGCAGCAAGCAGCCATGAACACGGCGGCGACGACGGTTGCAGCGGCGAAGATAAAGATGGGATTTTGGAGATCCATTTTGGGTTTACTATAGCTTGCACAGTACATATATATGATGAAGTATGAATGAATACTTTGTGTTTGTGTATATATATAAAAGGAAATTAGGGTTTCTTGAGGTTTCTGGGACTTTGAAAACACAAATACTAGGAAGATGTGCCATGGTAATCATCATAAGATCAGAGAATTAATATAATGAGAGTAAATGAGCTGATGAGAACGAACATATTGAACAGTGAGCCAAGCTGATTCAAATGGCCATTAACTACCTAGCAGTGAGGCTAGGATGATCCACAACATTTGTCAACTTGTTTATAAATTAGAATCACGGACTTAGTTCACTCGTTCAATAGGTAGTATTAGAAAGAAAAGACTAATGTTTAAACATTGACAGTTACAAGTGGGCAGATCACTTGTGCGCATCAATATTTAGCTCTGTCTGCTGAATCATTGAGTCACCCTAATTTATATCTTCTAAATACTCGGTCAGGTTGCGCAAGTATAGGAGACCTTTAGAGTTGTGGGTTCAACCTTTTGAAGAGAAGAATAGTCCGTACCCGTTGGGTTTATGAAAAACAATTGAGAAGAAAATTAATTTAAATTTTAGGAAAAGTAAATTATTAGGAATAATACATAAGACCACAATTAAGCAAGGAGCCAAGGAAAGAATGAAAATTAGTAAGTATTTGTAGTATTATTTAGAAAATATAATAATTAAATTCATTTTAATTTTAAAAAAATGGTTCATATAAAGTTCTCTTGAAAATAAAATATTAAATCTCTAATATATTTATGTCACACGCAAACAATAAAATTTTCAAATGAGCTGCAAGCTTCTCTTTCATTGTTAGACATCTATCTTTACTTGATAGGGTTTCTTGTACGTTGCAACTTGCAAAGAAGATAAATAAGTAATCTGGTAAATTTTACAGATTTATATATTGTATTTATTTTCCTGATTTCAAGGATTCACAATTCTTGTTAATCAAAACGTACTTTTCAATTTATATCACACATGAGAATAATTTGTTCATCATTTAAATTGCTATGAAAGTATTAACTTTCATGACTACAAAACAACTTCAAAGTCTTTGGTTTAAAATTTAATTTTTGAAGGTAATGAAATGTTTTTAAAATTTACATATAACCTAAGAATGTAAGAAAAATGTAATTTTCATAAATATTAATATATTATCAAAAAAAGAATTAAAGAAAATTTATGAATTTCACATTCTTCTTACAAAATAAAATGAAAATAGTATAAAATTAAAAGACCCAATCATATAGTGCAATATCGTTCAAAAAAATAATAATTAAAAGCTAAGTTTAAAGTAGAATGTAAAACCACTCCATTTCCAATTATAATTTTGTAGCCCGGACATAGTTCAATTGGTCAACCAAGTCAAGATACTTTCACAAAGTTTGTCATTATTAACAACTATATGGTGCAGGTTTTGAACCTGGCCTACCAATATGCTCATGCAATAATTATAAATGACCTTAGTTCAAAAATGTTGCCTCCTTAATTTTAAAACTAAAGGTTCAATTTTTAGGTATACTACTGCAAATGAATATAGTCTTCAATACACTAAAAATGAATATTGAAAAAATAAATATTTAATATATTAAAAATGAACCTTTAATATCTACTATCTACTATACTAATAAGAACCCAAGAGAGTTAGGCCTATAATGGGTAGAAAAAATGGCGGTCAAATTTTTTTCTACTATACTAATAAGAGCCCAAGAGAGTTAGGCCTATAATGGGTAGAAAAAATGGCGGTCAAATTTTTTTCTACTATACTAATAAGAGCCCAAGAGAGTTAGGCCTATAATGGGTAGAAAAAATGGCGGTCAAATTTTTTAATCAAATGAATGGCTCAGATTGATCAGATTTTAATTTTATATACTAATAAGAGCCCAAGAGAGTTAGGCCTATAATGGGTAGAAAAAATGGCGGTCAAATTTTTTAATCAAATGAATGGCTCAGATTGATCAGATTTTAATTTTTCCTTGAGATTTCCTAATTTATCCTTAATGAATATGATTTATATATACTAATAAGAGCCCAAGAGAGTTAGGCCTATAATGGGTAGAAAAAATGGCGGTCAAATTTTTTAATCAAATGAATGGCTCAGATTGATCAGATTTTAATTTTTCCTTGAGATTTCCTAATTTATCCTTAATGAATATGATTATCCGTTAACTTTTCCGTTAAATATTATCTTTTCCGTTAGTTTCTGTTAGTTCACCGTTAACTTACTCATTGATTTCAATAAGAAAGGTCTTAGGTTCGAACCTCATCCCAATCAAAGTTGGCATAATTAATTAGTACTCTATTTAGAATTATGTGTTTACAATGTCTTTAGAATTACCAGGACTATGTGGTCCAATGGTACCCGGGTTGGACTTCCATTAGGAAGGTTGTGAGTTCAAGTCTCAGTGGAGGCGTTGCTAGCTCTTTGTGTTTCAGTAGGTTGGGAAAGTATATGAACAGATATTACAATGTAATAGAGCTAGTAGCATTCAAAAAAAAAAAGACAAATAATTTCATTAGTTATATTGTCTTTATTTTTTTCCAATATAAAAATTCTCTACATTCAAAATTCAAATTCATCAATTGATTATATTCGCTACATTGTCCCTACAATGTCTTTATTAAAAAAATTATTCATTATCAATAAATTAATTAAGAGAAATAATTTCATTAGTTATATTGTCTTTATTTTTCTCCAATGTAAAAATTCTTTACATTCAAATTCATCAATTGATTATATTCACAACATTATCTATTATCTTTTTTGTGTACTATTTTTTAATTAAATATCAAAGTTATAATACAAAATAATGATATATATTTTTTATATTCACTACATTGTTTCACTTTTTCGATTTGTTGACAAAGATAGTATTCAAATCACACAACAAATTGAAGTGAGAAACCACCTCGCAATGTCCTTGTTTGACAATCAGCAATTAGCGGTTAGCATTAGCGGATTATATTAACGGATTTGACAAGCGAATTATATCAATGATTGGTACCCTTTGCAACAAAAATACTTGTTACTATTTAAAAACAAATTAGTAACAATTATAATGAATCTCCTATATTACATTGTATTCATATACTATGAATTACATATTTAAATAAACAAATTAAACATAAATTACTTATGTTGAACTTCTCATTATAATCTTGCATTGATATACTTTCAAATATTTATTTAATTATAAACATTTGGTAGAAAAAATGACCGTCAAATTATTAAATCAAATGAATAGTTCAGATTGTTCAGATTTTAATTTTTCCTTGAGATTTTCTAATTTATCCTTAATTATATGATTATCCAAACCGTTAACTTTTCCATTAAGTACCGTTAATTCACCGTTAGTCTGATTCTAATATTAAAGTCTAATATAGAATTATAACTACAACATTAATCTAATTTTAATATTAAAGTTTTAATAGAACTCTAACCACAAATCCTACTGCCGGAATCTCCTCAAACAATATTAGTATATATTTAATATTTTATGCTTTAATTTTTATTTGTTCTCTCTTATGTCCCGTATTTGGTTCCAACCATACCCATACAATTATTTTATATTGACAATTATAAACTATATTATCTTGCATTTGTAAACTTAGAATTACCAATTTAAATACACAAATTCAACATTCAATTATCTATGCATAAACAATTTCAATATAATCTTGCTTTAATATACTTTAAAATACTTATTTAAGAAAAACATTGGGCATTTTCCCAATCGCGCAATGCGTGTAAAAAACTAGTATTAAAAATAAACATGTTAGTGGTCTACCTTATAATATAAATCATGGTTCACTTATAGTGATGGGAGGGGCAAGCTAGTGAGTTCTTAAAGCCAACTCGGCAATTGAAGTACTATCAAAATGTTTGAACCAATGGATTGTTGTCATACATTTAAAGCCACGATTAATTTAAAAATAAGTGTAATCAGTAAACCTCTTGTTAGATATTTTAATTTTGTTCGCACAAATTTAGTTCACTGGTTTAATAAGCAATTTTTTAGAGAAAAAACAACAAAGGTTTAAAACTCGTTAGCACTTACTGAATACCGTGATTTACGTCTTCCTACATGTTCTGTCGAGTCCTTCGATCTGAAAGAAGATATTTAAAATTTATTGAAAAAAGTAATAAATTTGTGACTCATCAGCATTTCTTCTTCTTTTTTTTTTTTTTTTTTTGGTCTTTTTTTTCGAAAAACCAATCTATGCCGCATTAGCAATGAGTACAAAAAGAGAGAATATGTACAATCATTATTGCGTTGATCCGTGGTCCATAGAGTTGTGTGGACTACAATTTAAAAACACATAAAATACATTATTTTAATTTATAAAATACATTATTCTAACACATAGAGTACATTATTTTAACACATAAAATACTTTATACATTATTCTAACACATAAACTACATTATTCTAACTCATAAAATATATTATCTTACCCCAAACTTTTCATTATTATAATACATATAAGGGAAAAGGGTCAAATAAACCCCTAAACATTACCCAAGAAGCCAATTAGGACCTTGAACTTTCAAAATGTGCAATTAAGCCCTTAAACATGTTATTTTAGAGCGAAATGACCAAAAAACCGGTTGGTGACCTACAATTATAAGTCAAAAGAATTCCGACGATATTACGGCAAAAAAACCAGCAAAATGTTCACCGGTGGGATTTGACTGCCTTTTCCGGCGAAGGAGAAGGCAGCCCTTACCTCCTTCACTGTATCTGGTCGCCTTCTCCTTCGCGAACTAGATCCGGCAAAGGAGAAGGGTTGCCTTCTCCTTCGCAGGCGAAGGTGACCCAGATGGGTCGCCGTCGCCTTCTCCTGCGAAGGAGACCCAGATGGGTCGCCGTCGCCTTCTCCTGCGAAGGAGAAGGCAACCCTTCTCCTTCACGGGAGAAGGCTTCTCCGACGACTGGTTCCCCAGTTGCCGAAGAAGGGTGACCAAAGTAGTTGGTTTGCCTTCTCCTTCGCCGGAGAAAGCAGCCAAATCACGCCGGCGAACGTTTCGCTGGTTTTTTTGCCGGAGTGTTGTCGGAATTTCGTCGGAGGTTGGTCAGAACCCTTTTGACCTATAATTGTAGGTCCTTAACGGTTTTTGGGCCTCTTTACTCTAAAATAATATGTTTAAGGGCTTAATTGCACATTTTGAAAGTTCAAGGGCCTAATTGACTTTTTGGGTAATGTTTAGGGACTTATTTGACCCTTTTCCCTACATATAAAATACATTATTCTAACTCATAAAATACATTATCTTATCCAAAATGTTCATTATTCTAACACGCATTTACACTCATAAAAGGCAAATAATTTTTCTTTTACATAAAAACAACGTCATTTTGGACCTGGTCCACAAGAATTTGCCGAATATGTAATATCCCTCTTAAATTTTTTTATTATTTTGCAATATTTACTTCATTTATTGATTTGCTCGATTTGCAGTACACTTGTTGGGCTTCTCAATAGACCTAAGAGTAGTGCTAACGTATTTGGGCTCTAGTCTTCAAGCACGGCCCTGGTCCAGACTCCAAGCCCAGGCTTATGTTACTGGGACTGGGCCTAATTTTAGCATCGCAGTAACCACCACAAAAATATTATGTGGACCGGGTTCACTTTGTAAAATAGACCCAGGTAAAAAATACACAATTTACATTGTGCATGCTCACAATTTTGTAAAATATAAATTGTAAGCATTTAGTATGTAAATTGTGAACATTTAATATGTAAATTATAAATATTCAGTATACAAATTGTGTATTTTAGACTCGAATCCACCTTGTAAGTAGGACCTTGATCCATGATATAATAATTAGTACACCACCGAGTATATTAGAATCATTTTAGAACTATAGAAGAGCCCTAAAAATCTATGTGGGATGGTGCAACATGAATTTAAAATATTAAAATATAGATGAATTGTCGAAAATAAGTGGATGCACAAAACTTTTTACGCGGAATCCACAATGGAAAACTAGCAGCCTTATTTGATGGTGTTTAGCCAAATCCATTATTTTTTGAAAAGTTTTGTATATGCACTTTTTGTAAAATGCTTGGATTATGAGTAATTTATCAAGTTTATAAGAGTATAAGGACATTTTTTTTCATTATAAATTTTGTAGTTAATTATTCATGTTATCTCTATTTGTCATTGATCACGGAGTTCCTTTTATAGTAAGAGAGTAGACATCGTAACGTGATTATGAAATGATAACCATAATTGATAGGACAACGTGATTGGGGATCATGTAATTGATAGCCGTTAATTATGACGGATTTAGTGGATCTTGACGGCTCTTTTGTTTTTTGTTTTTTTTTTTTTTTTTAATATTACTGACTCTATTACAACTTGTTGAAGCACAAAGAGTCAATAGTCTCTATTGAGGCTTGACCCCACAACTTCCCTATGAAAGAGCAACTTGATGCTATTGGACTACAAAATCGTAACTACTGTCATAATTATCTTTGTATCGTGTTGTTTTAGCGAAATTTAAAATATGATGTGGGGTCAAAGTGTAAATTGAATGAGTGCAGAGGTGGAAGTGGGATTATCTAAAAATTTGTCCTTTGACTGTTTGGAATCAGTTGTACGGTATTGACTAATGAAACTCAAAAGGATTGAAGAAATAGGCGATCTATAATCTATACCCTTCTCCCTCACCGACCGCCATTCGCATCCTAGATCCGAGCTTTAGCGATGGATCTGCCGCCGGAGGAGCTGCAATTCCTCACGATTCCCGACGTGGTTAAGGAATCAATCTCCATTCCGAAGCGATCTGCGAAAACATTTTACCTAATCACTGTAACCTTAATCTTCCCGCTCTCCTTCGCAATCTTAGCCCACTCCCTCTTCACCCACCCAATCTTTGTTCAGCTTCGCGAAAACCCTCACGCCGACCACGCCGACCAGTGGGCGAAGCTCCTCCTCTTCCAGTTCTGCTACCTCTTCTTCCTCTTCGCCTTCTCGCTCCTCTCCACCGCCGCCGTCGTCTTCACCGTCGCCTCGCTCTACACCGCCAAGCCCGTCTCCTTCGCCTCCACGCTCTCCGCCATCCCCAGCGTCTTCCGCCGCCTCTTCATCACTTTCGTATGGGTTTCCCTCCTCATGCTCGTCTACAATGTCGTGTTTGTAGGGTTTCTCGTGCTCCTCATCATCGCCGTGGATACCGAGAGCGTGGTTTTGTTCCTGTTCTCGGTCGTGGTCCTGTTCCTGCTGTTCCTTGTGGTTCATGTCTACATTACTGCTCTCTGGCACTTGGCCAGCGTGATTTCCGTGCTTGAGCCGGTCTACGGCCTCGCCGCCATGAAAAAGAGCTACGAATTGTTGAGGGGGAGGGCCCGTATGGCATTCCTGCTGGTTTTCTCCTACCTCACGATTTGTGGAGTGATTAGTGGGTTTTTTGGGCTGATTGTGGTGAATGGAGGGGACTATTATAGTGTTCTTTCCAGGATTTTGGTCGGGGGATTCTTGGTTGGAGTGTTGGTGATTGTGAATCTTGTAGGGCTTTTGGTGCAGAGTGTGTTTTATTATGTCTGCAAGAGTTATCATAATCAGGGGATCGACAAGACTGCTCTTTATGATCATCTGGGAGGATATCTTGGGGAATATGTGCCTCTCAAGAGCAGCATTCAGATGGAGAACTTGGACGATGATACATGACCGCCTTGCTCTGGTGAGAAAGCCTAAAACTCTATGCTTTCTTCCACACTTGTTGTAAGAACTGAAATGTGACATGTAAAGAAGAAGAATTATCATCAAACGATTTCCAGTTCGATGCTCCCTTGAAAGCTTGTATGTGTTTCTAACGATATCCAGTTCGATAGTCCTTTGCCTGTGTACTTGTTGAAATTTGTTCCATACATTGATGATTATCGTCATTTTCCGGTGAACTTGTTGAAATCTGTTCTATACCTTGATTATGGCATTGTGTTCTTTGTTTTCCTTCTTCATTAGTATAATAATAGGTATTGCAAATCTATCTGAGTTTTCAAATTAATGAGAGGAGGTTTAGTACTTTAGTGTAAGCCCCCTCATCCATGAACCAAAATGCATCAAATGTTTCGGTTTCTAATGTCTGCTTATGATTTGATCTCATTCTCTAGCAAAGAGAAGCCTTTTATATGAGTCTGAGTTTAACGTGTTGCTGGGATCTATGGTTCCACAGTTCACCTACCTAGGAAGATATGGGTTGTGAAAGAATGCAAAATCTTTAATAGGCTATTGCAGAATGCAGACTTTGCAGTATGTAATGCACAAAAGCATGAACTGCTTTAAGTAGTTGCATATCCCGTGCTTCCTTTTTTATTGTGCATATATTTTTGATACATTAGGTTTCCCAGCTTATGCCAAACTTTTGTTGTGCATATATTACATGTGGTAACTTGCGGACCTTAATGATTTGTTTTGCTTACAGTGCCAATCTGGTAGGATATCTCCATAGTACTGTACTTCACAATAACCATTGTTTCTTTTATCTCATGATTGAGAGTTATATTTTATATTATATATACATTAAATAATAGCTAACGGTGGGAAAAGGTCTTTAACTTTATGAATGGATTAACCCCTTCTGAGTCATCTGAAGCACTGTGAACATGAAACTGAAGGAAGTGATGATCCTATTTGAGTTTGAAATTTCATTTTATGTAGTTCATACTGCCCTACAGAGATGATGTATAGAATAGTTGATAAGTAAATTAATTCTGATCCATTATAGCACCAGAAATTTTTTTTTTTTTTATGTATAGGAAGAATTTTTCCCCTTGGACTTTCAATATTAGTTTCTCATAGAGTTATAGGCTCCTAAGAGTTTTTCCCATGTCTGAGCCTCTATTAAGAAGTCATTCAAAGAAACTGCACTATTAGGAGCCAAGCACCTTGTGCTTAGATGGCACCTCTATGGCTCCCCTTGAGGGAAAGGTCACAGGATCGAACCTCGGTGGTGGGGTATTGACTCTTTGGGCTGCAATAGTTAGAGAAAGTATAGAACAGATACTACCTTGTAATAGAGTCAACGGTACTTAACTTGACATTTCTTAGTCTTTGAAATGGTCTGTTTCTTGGTGACTCCATTCTCTGAGCATTACCTAATGAATAACTAGCCTGGGAAAGAACCAATTGCCTGAGTTGTCTTGTCCAGATGCAATGGATTAGGAGATGATTAGTTACCTCTTCCCTAATGTAGTAGGTAAGCAAGGTGGGCAGTTGTTTGTTGAACTTTAGTTTAATTGGGATAATTATAATATATTTTTATTTTTTGTTATTTATTTTTATAAAAATATTTTATTTTGTAATTAAAAAAAAAAAAGTACAAGCTTACATATAAGCTCTCACTATATTTTGATTATTTTCTTTCACATTGCTTATGAAATGAAGAATAGTATTAAGTGGCTAGAGCTAGTCTGTATGGATCATTAGGTTTATCAATTTTGGATTTATGGGGTTAAAATATTTTGACTTTAACCTTAAGATTTTTCGATCTTATCGAGCTAACTCATCATCTTCAGGATAAGATTAATATCCCTAGTTGTTTGGAGCATATACCTTCCTTTTCTTCTTTGCATCTAAAAACACGTTCTGATGGCTTTTAACAAGGCTAGCCAGGAAGAAAAGGATCCGTATTAGAATCCTAATTTGGCAGTTGGAAATGGTTGGAAGCATTATGCATTCTACAGACTTCAGCTACCAAGCACTCCTTTCTTTCTTTCCTTATTTATTTATTTATTTATTTATTTTTTTGTTTGTGGAGAGGTAAACATTACTAGAAAAATTATATGTAACTGATTTAATTGACAAAAATTAAAATCGTAATCTATGGAAATCATGTTTCACCCGCTCATTCACTCCTTTCATGGTGATTTGATTGTTTCTTTGTTCCTTGGTGACGAGGGTACAAACTGGGATATGATATGCAATTATGCATTGTATTGTAGCTTTCCAATACTAGATGCTGTAAGAACAAAGATTCAATTCTCTCCTATGTGTAAACTACTAAAAAATTGTCTTGCCAAAAATCTTTAGGCTCCTCCCTTTCTTGAAATTAATGTATGGTTTGACGAAATTATTTTGGTGCCATTTCTTTATACAGAAATGAGATTGATGCGGTTTGATATTAGCCATATTTGGTAAAATAGTTAGCTTATCCGTCAATTTTGATTTGTTTGACCACTTTTAGCTGTTTGACTTGGTTAAACAACCAATATGAGTGTTTTATTAATTAACTTTTTGTAACAACTTATTGTTCCAAAAAATTAAATTCTAAAAGTTGCTCAAATCAACCAACATCTAATTTATCAAACATCTTTTTACAATCAACTAGTCAAATCAACTAACCCAATCAGTTAACAACTATTTGCCAAACACCCCCATTGTATCCCAAAAATTTGTCAGCATAAAAGCCTGCAACAAATTGGAAGTTGGTTCTTAGAATCCCAGGATTGAAACAACTCAAAATCTTCTATAATGTGAATTTTCTGGGCTTGTATATATGTAGCCGTAATTACAAAAGGCTTGTAAACTCAGTTAAACACTGACACAAATAACTGTTTTAAATTTTAAGCAGAAAACACAACTCCAGGGATCCTTCTAACGTAGGATTAAGGTGTAATTATTGTTCAGTTTGATTCCTGAGCAGAATTACGTAGGAATTATTAAGATGTAGGAGAAAATAATTTAAAAAATAAAACATGTTGCTGCCCAGGATCGAACTGGGGACCTTCAGTGTGTAAGACTGACATGATAACCACTACACCACAGCAACTCTTTGTTTAGGGTATTGGTTATTGTAAATAGGTTTGATTTGTACTGCAAATATAACTAGACATTATAATTAAAAATTACTTATTGAAATGAGGTATGGAATTACTAGTTTTCTATCACAATTAGATTGTCCAAAATTAACTGATGAATATATTTTTTTCAAAAAATAAAATATGACTTGATATCATTACAATTAATTATCAAATTATAATAGTAAAATTCAATTGTCACTACTGCAACTGAGAAGGAAAAAATGTGATATTGAGTAATTTAATAAGGTGGAACATTTTAACCTAATAATGCCATAATTTTGGACAATTTAATTGTGCTAGAAAATTAGTAATGACATACCTATATTCAATAAAATGTTTAATTATAATAACAATTCCTCTAATGCAAAAGTTGCTGTGGTGTAGTGGGCAGCTACATACTTTATGGTTTTACAAAATATAATTTTTTTTTTTTAAAAAAAAAAAGACCTGAAATCACCCTCAATTGTTACTGTTGGGTAAAATTTTAAGGATAAATGTCACTTTTATTCTTCTAAAATATTGATAAGCCAAAAGTCAAATGGCAGCTAACTATATGAAATTAAGAACTTTTTGTGACAGGGAATATAACATTTTTTTGAATGCTATCATAAATTTTAAAAAGAGAACTTCCATTAATTTGTTATATATTGATCCTTATTGGTATTCTTATTCTAATATAACAAGTGGAAGGTACAATTGTATAAATATATATATTCAAATAAAATTATATTCAAAGTATAGATGGACAGATACTACAATGTATTAAAGCCAGTAGCATTCAATATATATATATATATATATATATATATATATATATATACAAACAATTGAAACAAACAAGTATATCATCATTAATTTTTTTTTTTTTAAAAACAGAAAAAAAAAAAAAAAAAAAAGAAGAAGAAGGAAACATATCAATTTAGGACAGTTTACAATTGTACTAGTAACTCATTCCAGGAATATTCCTATTCCATTACTTTTACTCCTTTACATGGCAAGATATGATAAGGCATTTTTATCATATGGGTCTTACCAAAAGTGTTTACATCAAAAGTATGAGTGTGAGAGTAAAAAGTTTGAAGTAGAGTTTGAGATCGGAGTACAAATAGCATTTTTCTGCTATTAATAAGGCAACATCTAAGGCAAAACGATATAGGTAGCCGAGCTGGTAGCTTGACCATATACATTCAAGAATGTCCAACGACTAGGATGATGTTAGAGTTAGTTACACCCAGTGAATTATGTGGTAAAATGTATTAGAATGAATCCTGGCAGATATGAGCCCAATGATACATGTAATCACCTTATTTGTAACCATTTTGTACATTATAACCCTAAAGGAATAGATATAAATATAATGTTTGTTATTAAACAAAGGAGCCACTTTAATACACTATACTCTTAAGTTAAAATAGCTCCAGGATACTCAAAACCTTAATCTTCGTTGTTAGACGTTGTATTCCATTGCCTTTCTTCTATTGCAAGCTTGGACCCAACTTACGGTTACATGTTAGGGTGATGAGAACTTGTATTTGAAAAATGAATCAGAATGTTCAGGGATACATTACAGATATATATACATAGAGGAGTTACAATATAACTAGAACTAATAGAGTCTTAATATCCCCCTCAAGCTGATGGTAGTCAAACAACCTGAAGCATGTCACGAAGAAACGAGGAACGCGCGAGTCCGGAAGAGGCTTCGTAAAAATATCCGCAAGCTGGTCCTTAGTGAAAATAAAGTTCACTTGAATCTCACCTGAAGTCACTTTGTTAAGAATAAAGTAATAATCAATGTCAACATGCTTAGTACTTACGTGCATGAAAGACTGGATTGACACACATGCATGTAGCTCCAAGATTGTCACACCATAACTTAAGCACCGGAACACGATCGACCAACATCAAGCTCACGCATTAACGAGACAAGCCACGTGACCTCTGCACAAACATCCGCCAGGGCCTTGTACTCCGCTTCCGTAGAAGATCGTGTTACCGTCTCCTGCTTCTTGCAGACCCACGAGATAAGATTAAAACCAAGAAACACAACAAAACCACTCGTAGGTTTCCGATCGGTGGGACAACTAGCCCAATCAGAATCAGAGAACGCATGCAGATCAACATATGAAGATTTACGCAGACGCATACCAA